AAACTTGTGGAGAAAAAGTTGAATATATTTTACATGGAGGAAGGATGCAAATTGTGACAGGATATAAGACCACAACAGACTGTTTCCAAAGATGGCCACAACAATCCCTCTAGCTTCCATGTCTTTTTGAAATGTGACTTTGCTGATTGTTTCATCAGGAAGTAGAATCCCCTTCTCTTCCTCCTCAATCCATCTTGTCCTATGACTTGCTTTGACCAGAAGAATGCTGTGGAGGAAGTACTGTGTGACTTCTATGCAGACATTAATTGGTCTTGTAGCTCTCTTTCTCTCTTATCATATTGGTAGCTAGCTACCAGGACAAAGTATGGTTTTAGTTATACATGACAATAGCATTTATTGTGATTTTAAAAGATCTTGCTAGAAATACCATGGAAAGACAAATAGCACTAGTCAGCCCTACACTGTTCTAGCCAGCTTGCTAAGGTGCTAGACAAGTAAATGGAATCATTTTGAATTTTCCAGTTCTAGATGGGATGCCTGGCTAACCCAACAGAGACCAGACAAGCTGTATCTGCTGAGTCCTGCTCCAACTGCAGAACTGTGAGGATATAAATTATTATTATTATTATTATTATTATTATTATTATTATTTTTAAGATACTATGTTCTGTTTTTAAGATACTATGTTAGTTATTCAACAATAAATGACTAGACTATTACTTGACCAGTCAATTACTCAAAAACAGTCAAAATGGCTGGATATGATTATACTGTCATGCTGAGAATGAAAACAACTTGCCATCCAGTGGACAAAGCACTGGAAATAACTGAGAAGACAAAATGCTGGTCTGGCTTTCTTATCACCTGCCTACTTGTGGGCTCAGATAAGTCACTTGAGCTCTGGGAACCTCCTTTAAAGAACAGGGACTGCATTTGAGGACTGTATCAAATTGTTGTACCAACAACAAAGCATGTTTGAAAAATGTTAATTATTATTCAAAAGGAATGAGGGCCACCATTATAACTTGTGAGTGTGTTCCTATCACAGGCACATTAGATACTGGCTTGCCTACTGAAGACAACTGCTGTTCTGCTTACTCTCTTCCCATTGAGACATTGCTGTTAATCAGCTTCTCCTAAGGAAAAGGGTCCAAGTAGTTTAAAATTTTCTAAATGAAAAACTGCAGAAAGACGCAGAGTATTATTACAGAAATGGCAAAATGAATATTGTAACAGGCATTTTGTGTCTGCAAATGTGATTTCTAGTTTATTTTAACAGCTATACTAAAACCCTACGGTACAGTTAATAGTATTATATGCGTTCTGTCAAAAAATAAGAAAATATCCTCAAACACAATTTCTAATTTATAAGCTTATGACAAGTTCAAGCTGCTGAGAAATTGACTTGAAAGTATGCCTTAGAATGATAGAAGACCACTATTAACACTATCATAATTGTATACCTATTGCATCAAATCTGACATTTCAGCTTAATATATTTCGCTGAGAGAGCATACCATTTTATGGCTTCCTAGTGAAATCAAATCCAACCCAGACGTTTTCACTTTTCTAATATAATTCACTGCAAGGTTTTAAAGCTGCCATCTCTTTTCTTCCCCCCTTTTCAAAAGATTGATGTCTGGGTATTCGTTAATTCCATGAGAGCTCATAATGGGTCACTGAGTCAGTGGTGAGCACCTCCATTAACTGCATTAATTTACACTATGTCACCTTAATGACGTTTTGTCACAGCTACCTTTTCTGACATCTACATAGCTAATCAAAAAGTAATATAACAACTTTTGAAGGCATTAAGGGAAATTAGTATAAGAACTTTTGTAAGGTACATGTCATTCCAGAACTACCATCTAGAGGAAAGAAATAGAAAAAATAAAAATAACGTAAAAACTAACTGGCTTCACTCAACTCTGGAGACCTCTCTCCTGAGGGGTCACTTCGGCAGCACTCTTTCTTCCCCAGCTTGTGTTCATTAGCACAGGAAGAGACTGACATTAATAGAGAGAGACAGAATAAAACCATCTACTGCATTCTGGTTCTCTCCCACAGGATTGTCTAAAGTTAGTAGATATTGCAGATATATTTACTTTTCTTCTCTGGAAATGAAAATATATTTCCTTAAAAATATATTTAATGCTATAGTATAGCTTTCGGATAGGAAATAAAAAGCTTAGGTTTTAACACACAGTAAAATGATTCATGTTTTTGAGACATTATTCTCTAGTAAATTAGTAGTTATCTTAGAATGAAATAATACTATATACTTTAAATTAAAATGTGTAATCACAAATTTAGGAAAATTTCAACATATCACTAGATATTCCAAGAAAATTTGTCTCTAATATTGCTGTCATAGAGACCCAGATTCTGATGCTAAAAAGGAAAATGGAAAGATGGATATATGTGGCTGGACACACACACACACAAAAAAAAAAAAAAAAAAAAAAAAACAACTCACTCAGCTGAAACATAAAACTGAAAGACTGAAAAACCATACTTGTAGTGCAACTTTCTGCAATTTCAAAGATCCCTTTCAAATAATCAAGAATAAGATGAGCAAAAGATACATGTCAGTTTACAAATCAATAATATGCAAAAAGTGCTGAACATCACTAAAAGAAATGCAAACCAATACAATGATGACTCCAGTTTTCACTTCCTATATTAGTTACAGTTTATTGCAATAGTGATGACGGGGGAATGCTGCTATAGCAATAATACAACATAATTCTTTGGGGATGATAGTTTGGCAACATATTAACAAATTAAAAATGTATATGTACATAGCCTTTGAGCCAATGGTTGTATTAATAGGAATTAACCTTCGCATACGCACACAAGGTTCACTGAGATGTCAGTGTGCACGGATGTTCACAGCAGTCTTGAGCATAACAATAACAATCACAGAGAAAGACAAACGCTCTATCAACAGAAGACTGCATAAATATTGTATATGTATGTAGTGTGCAGCCTTTAAAAGGACAGGGGTAGGTCTACACAGTAAGATATACACTATGAAAGGTTCAAGGTGGTGGCATGAGAGAACTGAAAATGAGAGCAATCTGTGTAGTGTCAAGCTGGGGAAATGAGCTCCTTATGAACCAATTAAGTCTCGGGGGGAAACACAGTACATGCGTGTTCAGTGCAGCTGGTTAGCATAAAAAAAAAAAAAGCTCCCAAGTTAGTGATAAACACCTTGATCTTTGTTCTTGATGATGTGACCTTAGGAGCTCAGGTAGCACAATCAGTAATGGAAGGTGAACATTTCTGAAATGGTTCTAAACAGGAAAACTTCCTGGAGAATTTAGAGGGATAAGCCTGGTATGAAAATGGGTCACCAGAGAATGAAATGTAACTTTATGAGATATATGGTGATCTAAAGAATTAATAAAGTCCTCAGATTAGGAAGGAAAGCTAAAACTGATTTACATATAAAATTAGGATGTCTCCAGTATTTGTGAGGGCAGGTGAGCATGAATCTTTAAGTTGAAAAGCCAATTTTCTTTCTTGTAATGATGTCAAGTTATAGTGAGGAGGCACTTTCACTTGAAATAGTTTGATATAATAAGGATACAGTTCTGACTTAAATATAAACAATCTCAAATGTGATAAGCCTTCAATTATAGACAGGAATATTTAATTCACAAATTACTATTGAGTGCTTTTTATAAACATTATATTAATTTGAGATTCTATGGATCAATGAGGGTCTATTGTCTCCCATTTTGTTTCTCATATGTGAAGTATTATTAAATAAGAAACAAATTCCTCCCTTGATTTAATTGGTAGTAAATCAATCTAAAATGAAGGTTTATGAATATTTTAGAGTTTTAAGTCCTCATAAAAGTTATAAGACTATTAAAAGAAAATTATGAATCTTAAGAACTTAATAAGGGTGCAGGTTAAATTCTCTAAGCATGAGTATGTTGTATGTATAAATTAATATTCACTTAGGTAGAAGTTTGATAGCAACAACAACAACAACAACAAAAACACAGGGATGAGCTATACTCTGCTTGGCTCCCACCTCCTTTGTTTTCTGCTTTGGAAAAAGAAATGAACAAAAGTTGTGTTCATTCAGTTTTCTTTCTAGTAATTGTCTTTATAAATGTTTTAGAATAGAAAAGCACACACATGTAAATTTGACTTGACCTTACTGCTTTTTGTTGGATCAGAACCCTAAATGGAATGATACTACGACATTTTTATGCTGAGTGACAGTTATGGGAAAAAACTTGCCTTGAAGAAAAAGGGCTTAAAATAAGAAACACATTTACCCAGGCAAGAACTTGATCATGTAATCTTATTATCAGGGGGAAAAAGAAAAAAGAAAAAAAAGAGAGAGAGAGAAAGAGAACAAATGCATTTTATTGTTTTGAATACAATCTTTTTCTTTTCCTTAAAGCAAGAGCCCCCATAAATGAAAAATAAATTTTTGTATTTAACAATAAATACATAGAGTAACTGTAAAATTGCTCTCTGGCTGTTCCTGGATATTGTCTGTGTGTTGGTTTAATCTAATGTGTATTGTTGCATAGTATCCCTAGGCACAGTCAAGTAAAAGCTAAGGCTATACAGAAAAGCCTACATTTTAAATGGGGCTTGTCATTAATGCTTTATTAATTGCCCCAGGCTACACCAACCCAAAGCTGGGCAAGCTATACCAATATGACACATTAAGGTCAAATCCAATTCCCGCTGTGTTTTATGGAATGGGCCAAATATTGAGTGAACAGCAGGAAAGGCAATTTATGGGCTTTTCTTTCCATCCCCTGATTATTTCATCTAAATTAGATGGGGATTTTTTGAATAACAAAACACCTTACCTGATTAATATAAAAGAATCCTGAATTATTTTTATGATGCTCAAAATTATTTCTTTTAAGGTTAGATGTAGCTTGTAATTTTAATATGATGGAATAAAGCTGCAATATAAAATATCTTATACATCATTTAATAAGAAAGTCAAAATTTCAACAAATTTTGAAATTCCACTAATATCAACAAATAAAAGAGCCTACCTTTACATCAGAAGTATCTCTCTGACTAGTTCTCCAAGACCTAGCAATTGAAGAGAAGGTTCGATCTGGATGGTCAAATTTCCCGTCATTTGCATTGAGGAAGAAGGTTGTGAAAGGTTCCTAGGCAAAAAACACAATCAGTAAATGAACCATTCGAAGCACATATGTGCTCATGGGTTGATAACATATGAGTATTTCTGAGACCCTCTTGATGCAGAAGCAGTGAAGAGCTTGTATCAAGGCCTACAACAAGGTGGGAGGGGATGTGGGTCTGGGTCTGACTGTGTCACCACAGTACCTGTTGCTCCGCAACCCTGGCAGGTCCTTTGGCTACTTGGGTCTCTATCTTCTTATCTATAAAAGGATGGGAGTCTAGTGCTGTATGGTCTTATGGTAAATTATTTTGCATGACATTCATAACTCAGATTTTCTTTCTAATAATTAGGGCCATGCATACTAACATTGCAATAAAAAATGTCACTTTGACATCCTCTACAATGTGGAATTAGGTAGGGAATTGTCCACCTTAGAATGCCTGGGAAAAGCTACTCAAGCACTAGTTCCATAGTCTGGTGACCTTTTAAAAATGCAAACCCCTGCTTAATATCCTTCCACAGCTCTTAGGAGGTCTGAGGAGAAAGTTTAAACTACTTCATTTGTCTTACAAAAGCCTAAATGATCTACAACCTGTTTAACTCTTTTATCTTACTATTCCCACCTATGTTCAAAGGTTTTGCCACTATGTCCTTTGAGTGTGACATTCCATCCACCATTTATCCCTTATCCCTTTTCCTCACTATCCTTATCTAAGTTCTTTTATCCTTTAAGTCTCATCCAAGATGCCATGTTCCCCCCAAAGACTCCTGGATTGACCAAAGCTCTCCTGCATGCTCACAGCAGCCTACAGAAGCTCAAACAATGCCAAGCATTTACCATGCTGCATTATAATTGACTGTTAAGTTGTGTACATTCCCCATTATGGGTAGGTGCCATATCAATCTTATTTGCCATTTTATCTCTAACACTTAGCCCAACTTCTGGTACACTGAAGTTGCTCAATACTTAATCTGTTGAATAAAGCAGTGAAGTAAAGGAAGTACAAATAAGACTGAATGAACTCTAGTCCTTCTTTTATTCTGAGGTGATTACCTTAGGTTAACATAGTATCTGTCATCCAGGACATCTTCCCCTAGCAGGAAATTTAGGAATAACATTATCACAATGTCCTAGCAAATTTAATTTTATAAGGCTGGTTCTATAGTTTTTATGTTGGGAGAGAGACATTGTTTTTGATGTCATTTGGTTTGCTTCCAAGTTTAAAAGGATTAAATAACATTCATTCTTACTAAAAATTCCTTAGTTACTAATAAGTATAGCAAAGATAAATAGTATTTCCTTTTTCATGCCTTAATTTTTCTCTGATAAGTCAAGGATAAATGATATGTCACTCCAGGTTAAATAATGAATGCTAAGAAATCTATATGACATTTTCCAAAACATTTAAGCCTTTTTTCTTATTATATAATCTGTGTTCATTCTTAAGTATAATAAACATTTTTTTTTTTTGCCTTTTTAAGCTCCCTTGCTTGTAACTATCCTTAAGACTGGCTCAGGGGCAACGGCTACAAATATTCTTCTTTTCAGTATCCTCCTGAAATGTAATGTGGCTGGATCTCATCAATTTCATGCTTGTTATACACTGCTAATATTTTATGTTCATTGTTGAATGACAAAAAAGTGTGATGAAAGTGATAAGACCAAGAAGGATATGATGATATACCAGTAAAGAAGGCATTATTAATTCACCTGAAAATCAGATACACAATCAGAAGTTCATATCGTTGTTTATGATCTTAAGTGATATTGGAAACAAATAGCTGTCACCAAAATTAGGTTAGGAATATAAATTTTTATGAGATGTCTTTCACTAATGAATTTGCTTTGTAGACTTAATTTACTACTACAAGTCAGGTAGCGAATTTAGTATATAGGATCACTAAATTAAATTAATTAGAATTGAAATATAAAATGTCTAAAAAAAGCAGTGATAAATTGAATGAAATATAATAGATCTCGAGTTTTGGTTTAACTATCTATCCATCTTGGGCAAGATACTCTACCTTACATCAATGTATCAAATAACTGTCTCCATTTCTTCATCTATGTAAACTGGGACTGACAATACCTTACCTTGGGGGTGATTATGAGAATCAGATAAGATTAAATAAAATAAATGTATCTTACCTGACAAAGCATTATACAATGACTACCAGCTTTATGCATCATGCCAAGTATTAATTATTGGACTCCTCACCAGGATGCCAGTTCACTGCTGTCCCTGACTGAACTCTTACTTAATTGCTTACGTCTTATTCATCTGTATCCCAGCACCAAGCATGGCTCACTGTTAAGTGTTTAAAAAAATGTTTGTTGAATATACCTAAACATATGAAGTGACTCTTGAGAGACAGGGATATGGGTAAGATATAGTTTTTCTTTTCAGTTCTTCAGCACTAGTAGAAGTTTGACCCAAAGGTCGTATCTTCAAACTCACATCTTCATTATTCTAGGATGTGAGACATTCACTTTTTTTCTCTGTAGTAGTAAACACAGATTAATTTAGATGGACTAGACTTGCCTCTCTGCATTTAAACTATTAAACAGATGTGAGTGAAGACTCATTTATACTGCAAAGCCTTACTTTTTATCATCAGCCACTAAAAACTGATCTCTACCCCAATCAAAATCATAAAAATCCTTTATAATTTTCAACCCTATTTTGAAGGAATGTTAAGAGTAGCATTGAAGGGCACAGTGAAAAAAATCTTAAATTGAAGAATAACTTTTTATTTCTGGTAACAAAGTTTATTAATCTGATGGTACACCAAAGCAAAGAATATTGAAGAATTCCAAATTTTACTGACTTAAGCAACTTTAAAAAAGATCTGATTAACAACTGCTTTAGGGCCATTCACTACAATCTGACATATATTCTCATTATTCCTGAAAGCCTCCAGCGGCTACAGTGGTAGAGTACTAATAGAAATTGATAACCTAATTGTTTATAAGTGAGTATTGATCTACCAAGCTCTGATTTCTGTGGAGATCGCCTTTTTTTCTATGGTTTTCTCTATTACCTTCAAGGCACAGTGCAAAGCCTTCTTTTTCATTTGATTCAGGCCACACCAATGCAGGATCAAGTGCAATAGGAAGCTTAAAGATCTTTTATATTTTTTCACTTATCACATGTTAATCAAACCATTTTCTATGGGGACATCATTATGTGAGATATGTGCACTTTAAAAGCTTGGGAGATACCATGTATGAGTGAATAAATCTAAACAGCAATTTTGAAAATTAATAAAAATTTGGCATCCACCAGGCTTTAAAAACTCTGGGTCAGGTCCTACAATATAAATGGCAAGTGGCAGATTGTCTTCTCCTGATTACATTCACCCCAAGCTCATGTCATATCTTCCAGTTCTTTTTCAGTGATGGAAAACTAAGCTCAGTTAGCCTGTACTAGGAAACATCTTTCCCACTACATGCCATCACAAGCTTCAGTCCCCCTCCAAGTACACTAAGAACCTTATCAGCCTTTTAATGATTACAGACGATTAATTCCATCCTGGATAATCCAACTCCTACCTAACTGCTTTATTCTTCTGTTTTATTTGACTTTTGCTTAATCATCTCAAAAGAATCTTTTAAATGTCCTTTTCTCCTTGTAATTTTCTTCTTTTCCTTCTCTTCATTTGATTTAAAAAACAAAACTGGGATGGGGTTGTGGCTCAGCGGTAGAGCGCTCGCCCAGCATGTGTGAGGTGCTAGGTTCGATCCTCAGCACCACATAAAAATAAATAAAATTAAGGTATTTAAAAAACATTTCATTAAAAAGAAAACCAAAAAACAAAATAAAACCCCATCCATGAATTAATATGTAGAACTTTCAATGTAACTATAGCAAAGAAAAAATGTATTTGAAGTGATTTGAAGCATGCTAAAGGCAAAAGGAAAGGGAACTAACAGTTACTGAGCACCTTTCTTTGCTAGGCATTGGGTTATCTCAGTTTAAGAATCCTCTATCATCTTTCAGAATATGTAGAATCATTCCTTTTACATTTGCGATATGACATCAAAGTCACATTCTAAGAAATGAAGGAATCATTCTTTCCACTAGCCTTTGTCTAATTCCAGAAATTTATTTTCTTCTATTTCTTTTGAAAGAATCTGGAAGTATTTCTAAGAGACTTTCAAAAGACTCTATTAATTAACCTATGTGCCTTATATCCACTAGGCTCTTGGTTAAATATTCCTCATCTTCCTCTAAGTAAATAAACATTGTTCTTGAACATCAGTATTCAAAATAAACATAGTGAAAATATTTCATTCAGTAGCGCTATCTTTGGTTTTAATTATAAAACTTACCAAAGTGCTTCTATGACTTTATTTATTACAAATATAAACTTTCTGACTTGATTTTTTTACAAACATGAGTGACAGCGGAATGCATTACAATTCTTATTACACATATATACCACAATTTTTCATACGTCTATACAAATATATACTTTTAAAGATACATCATGGTTTAAAGAGACTCTAGGGCAAGCTTTCAAAACAACCCATAATGTATAAAAAATTCAAATTCTAAACAACATATTTATAAATTAACTTATTTTAATGTAACCTATTTAACTTCCAAGGAATTATGACTAATGTCTGAGAGATAAGTTTTGAATAAGAGAGTTGAATATACTGAATTCAGAAGGTGAATGTGTTTCTGAAGGCTGAAATGGTCCCAGTATAAGATTTAACTGCTTCAGGGTAGTGATGTATGTCCAGGGTAAGGATTAAAGCAACATCATTCTAAATAAAACATTTTGTATTAGTTACTATCTGAAAAATTCCAAACTTTTAATATAATAGTTTATTCATCACTTGCCCAATAATAGCTATCAAGGAAACAGTCTTTTTAGAGCCTCATAATTTAGACAAGTGTTTTTACTAGTAGTTTGTCTAAAATAGTATTTTTAACTTAAATCAATGAAGTATTTAGTTAATTAGCATTTTATCCAATTATTATTGTCATATTAAGTCTATTGACTGAAACTAATAATGAGTTTAATGACGTTAGGTTTAGCTGTCTTGAAAGGTAAAGGACAGTTAATTATTTTAATCTGTATCACATTTTTATGAACAAATTCTCAGTGACACAAACTTTAATGCATTTTCTACCTCATAAACTCCTTTGGATGGGAGTGAGGAAATCACAATTCTCTGGGCCATTAGGTTAAATACAAAGTAAGCTATTAGACCACAATACTTCTATTAATAACAGCATAGCCTAAGATCTTTGGTCCAAATGAGTTCCCATAAAAGCAACTCTATGGATTTGTTATATTTGATACAGTAGCTAATAGCCACCTGTGAATACTGAGCAATTCAAATGTCACTGGTTCATATTGAGATGTGTGGCAAATATAAATATACTCTGGACTTCAAAGACTTAAGAGTATAAAATGTAAAATATTTTATATTTTTTATATTGGTTACATGTTTAAGTGATAATATTTCAGGCATACTGGATTAACAAATAATTTATTAAAATTAATTCTACCTGTTTCTTTTTTGCTTTTAAATGTGGCTTTTAGAAACTTTAAATTACACAAATGGTTTATGATTGCATATCTATATGCAACTACTATATATCTATATCCTACTATATGTAGGATAAATATGTGTGGAATTTTTTGCCATACTGTTGCATAGATTGATAAATCAACTTAAGAATGAATTATAATTGGAGAAAGTGTGTAGCTTGTTTGTGATAGAAAGGGGTCAACTGAAATTAGGAGGTTGAGAACAGAGTTTTTGTGAACCTTTGGATGTTACTTTATGTATTTCAAAATGCTATCAACACATATTATTCTCATTTAATCTCAAAACAATCCAGTAGATTTTTTTTTTTAACTCCAAAGTACCTGAGAGAGGTGTCTTACTGTTTCTGTGACAGTGACTGTCATTCAGGGCAGGTGGTATGAAAAGTCCTCCCAGGTTCCCATGTTTTCTAAACATCTTTCTCTAAGGATTTTGGAGGTCCCTTTGCAAGTTTCATGTGGACTAACATGGTGAAGCCAAATAGACTGTGAGGCTTGAGAATTATTTCTTGGACTGGGGATATAGCTCAGTTGGTGGAGTGCTTGCCTCACATGCATAAGGCCCTGGGTTCAATCCCCAATATAACCAAAAAAAAAATTTTTTTTTCTCATGGGCTGCTTAAGCCCAAGTACATCTTTTCTTGGCTTCCAGGGTGTATCCTAAATAGAAAAGACAACTTGAACTCAACTGACACTCTTTTCTCTAGGTTTTAACATTTTACTCTCTCTATTCAATTTTTTGTTTGTTTCTGGTTCATTTACAGCTAATAAATAATTTCCTACTAATGGTGGTAATGACTGAAAATTTAGCTTTATAGGAACATTTGGTGATCAGTCTAATTTATCTTTTTTCTTTTTTGTCTATTTGTGAGCACAAATCAAATAAGACCATATTTTACATTGAGTATAAAGGAAATCAACTCTTTGAAATATTGACTGGTAAATTTTGGTGTCTCTGTGTTTTGTTTTGACCTGTGGCTGAAACTGCAGGACGGGTACTAATAAACTCTCTTGATGTCCATCTATAATCCAAATAGGCTTTGCCTCTTGCCTGAAAGTGAAGCATTCTCCTATCTCTGGAGGGCACTACTTATTACTATCCATAAACTAAAGATCCTCCATTCTGATTGGTTTATAGTGATAAATGTTTACAAATAAAAATCTAATGTTCTCAAAATTATCAGAAAATAAAAAAAAAGAACTTCTAATTACGTTAACAGTGTCAGAGTTTAATGATTTTTTTCCTTAAGAAATTTCTAACTCAAATACATTCTTGTAAAAGAATTCAACTTCACATAATTACACTGAATCTTTGGACAAATTAAACTAATTTAATAACTTTGGTCAAAAACAAAATAGTAGTTTTATGTCTTTACCTTTAGTTTATTATTATAGTTTATTTTTAAAAGTAAGATTTGGGTTTGTTTTTTCAACAGACTGGTTAATCTAAACTTCCTCAACTTCTTATAAATAGTATGATTATAAAAGATATAGAATTTGTGTTCAATTAAACTGAATCATAATCCTGACAAACATTTTCAACAATAGTGTTTGTAGTATGTCATCTGCTAGCGGTTTGCAAGTTAAAGTATACACAGAGTACATTTTTTGTAAGTTCAGTCTCTACTTAAAATGGAAAAAATGCCTGAGGAAGACCTCCAAGCTAGTTTATCCTTTAGGTTTGGGAAAAAAAAAACCCTTTTGAAATAGAAGGTATATTTTCATGTACGCAGCGTTACTAGTGTGGTTCTGAGACATATGAGATTCACATAGCTTAGTGGTCTGAACCATATCTTGGTAAAAGGAGAAAATATTAGAGATTTAATTTAGTATTTTACAGTACTTTTCAGTCCCTTATAGTAAAAAAGGAAAAAAAAGAAAAATCAGATCATCTGGCTTTAGTAACTGTTTCTAACTAGACTAGACTGGAAAAAGCAGACTTGAAAGCTTTTCTAATATTCTAGATAAGAAATAATGGAAATAATGGAAACCTTAACTAAAGGAAGTGCCACAGTTATAGAGAAAAAGAGAGAGATTTTAGAGATAATTAGTTGGTAGAACCTACAGATGTCTGTTGGGATATGGGAGGAGGTAAAAATAGGAAAAAATATTTAGGAAAGTCCCCCAATTGCTCTAGATGGGGTAACTGGGTGAATGATCATGCTAGTTATTTAAGAAAAACAGGAGGAATCACAGCAAGTTCATGATGGAGAAAAGTTATCTTAAAAATGATATTTATGGTGTTATGTGATATTCAGGAACAAGTGCCCTATAGGTAGTTGAAATATAAGCCAGAAACTGATGAGAAATATTTATGATAAAGTTAGAAGCTGGAAGTCACTATTTTGCAGTGAATGACATAGCTTTGATAAACTATTTAGAAAAATCCTAGGGAATAAGAATATTGAGGAAAAGAAATTTGAGCAAGAGACTGGACAAGAAGTTACTGTGACAGAAGGAAAAAAACTAGAAGGGGATGTTGTCCAGGAGCCAGGAGAATTTCTAGGAGAAGGCAGTGAGCAATGGTAACAGGTGCCTCAGAAACATGATGGTAGGAAATGGGACATTCTGTCCATGTGACCTGTGACCTCCATAAGAACAAGTCAGTAAAGTGAGGGTAGGAACCTGCATCAATCAGGTAAAGACTAAATGTGAGGTGGCCAAGTGGCTGAGCTGTCAGTGGAGGCTGAACTTTCAGTACATGTGACCACAAGGCCAGGAGTTACAGAATGGGTGGGGGCTGAGAAGAGGCTTTTTCTTTTCTTTTTTTTTTCCGTTGTGGGGAGCAACTGGGGACTGAACTCAGGRGCACTTAACCACTCAGCCACATCCCCAGCCCTATTTTGTATTTTATTTAGAGACAGGGTCTCACTGAGTTGCTTAGTGACTCACTGTTGCTGAGGCTGACTCTGAACTTGTGATCCTCCTCTCTCAGCATTCTGAGCCACTGGGATTACAGGAATGTGACATCATGTCCAGTTATTTATTTATTTTTCCTTTTAAAGACTGAAAATACTTGAGTATATTTATGTGTTAAAGACAATAAGGAAGTCTTGAAAACACTTGGAACCTGATATTACAACATGCCACCTAAGAATCAATAATGAGAAGACAGTAGAAGATTAAGGACCAGAGTACATCCTTAGTGAGAAAGGAATAGTAGGTATTAAGGATATACTCCAGAAGGCTGGCTCTTTGTCACTGATTTAGAGGGCTGGAGGTGTATGTACCTCAACCGTAGAGTGTGTGTTTAGCATGTGCCAGGTCCTGAGTTCAATACCTAGCATCAAATAAGTAAATAAATATACAAATAAATAAATTATTATTTTTTAAATTAAATACCGACTTAGGCCCGAGAAGCTCACAGAATCTATCTTCCTAACTCAGTTCCACAAACATGAGAATTCATTAAAAACGAAGAGATTCAGTTTTTGGTAGAGTTTGTGATCTCTAATTCCACTTCACTGCTCTCTAATCTTTAAGATGAATAACAAGTATACTTGGTTTTTATTTAATTTACTAATGTTAAAATACTTTAAGGTATTAAAGGTAAACTGTAACTCAAGGAAGATACTCACAATTCGAACAAGCCAGGATAAGGTCGATGTTGCTGTTGAATAATGTGTATTATAATGGTAGGGTGGGCTTTGATCATCTTCCCATGTCTCATAGCGCTCTGCATAAAACACAGCTCTCTTTGGGTTCAAAGCACCAATTGGCTATAAAAAGATAAAAGGAAATATATTATTTAATATAGTCATTTTAGACAATCTAGATGATAAGCCTTTATCCTGAAAGTATTTCACTACTGATTCATTTCAAGCACAGAGCACAAATTATTTTGTATTATATTTTTACCAAATTGGATTCTGATATTAACTACATATCATTATACTTCCTAAAAATCACCCAAAGGATTATTCCTATGTGCAAAGTTTCTAGACTTTGCTAAAAGTTTTAGTGAACTGTTACCAGAGGTGATTCAGTTTTAACTATCAAGGCCAAATTAATATTTTAATGTTATTTTCCTGTCCACTTAACACACATAATGAAAATTTAGCTTGGGGTACAAGGATCCTGCCAGGAGAAGGATGAAACAGTTATCACTGTATCAGAGAAAACTTTGTCTTAATAATAGTATCACCCAAAGTGTGAAAGACAACAATCTTCTGCATGGGAACACTGATGGGACACTACTTCCATTGTGAGTTTACACAGATGAAGCATCTATCCTTTTTTATTAATTTAAACTACACACCTTACTAAGGGTGATGAAAATAGTCTAGACAATTCAGATTTCCAGAAAAGCGGTTTACTAAGGCCACTAAGACTCTCCCAATAGTACTACCATGCTACTTACCAATTATGATGCTAATCCCTACAGTGGAATACACAGTAACTGCTCAGGATATGAATTTTTTTTTCCTTCAATAAAGCATTTTTTAATTGGATCACTGTCTTGAACTTCTTGGCAAACTGTTTCATTAAGAATTTCTGGCACAACATCCTCATCATTACAAATAGCCAACTGCCTTAGCTTAAGTTTTTGTTCAGTTTTGGCTTTACAGTATATACAGAATCTACTCTTATGATATCAAATAGCACAATTATTTTGTTTTAGGATGCATATTATAAAAAAGAATTTTATAGGGAAAACAAAAGATGAGTATTAAGTGTAATATCTTAGTCCTTTATTTCAAAATTTAATATTACTAGTTAACTATGAAGTTCCCCCCAAGGCTTAATTTTAACAAAAGAAGTAGTAGAAAATTAGTGCTTCAATGGGACATATAATGTTACACAAGAGAGAAAGATTCATTTATAAATTGCTGTGAGCCTTTTCTTTTGTTCCCAGGAGACTAATTCAAACAACACAATGATGTCAGCAGTTAAAAGTCTGGTAGAATTTCCATATAAACTCTTATTTGCAAGGGTGCTTATCCTGAATGCTAGAATTATTTGTAAATTATTTTCATTTTTCATAAACTTTAATTAGACCTAACAAAGACTAAGAAATCTGAGTAAATATTTCTTGTGTATAAGATCATTACTATTTTAAGAGTTCGAAGCTTTTTTGTTTTCATTTTTCTAAAACAAAGTATAAAAATAAAAAATTTGGCTTAAATATATTTTAAAAAAATATTTGAAGGCTTAGAATTTATTGTGTTTAATATCATTGGTTATCTGAGATCTTTTGACACAGATCTATAAAAGGCACAAAAATTTTGTTAAACATTCCTTAAAATCTCAATATTTAAAATAAGCCTATAATTTTTTGAGAAAAGGATAATTACTAGACAATGGAATGAATGAAAGCTTTGTTCCTGAAATTAAATAGTAAGTTTTTCACTCAAAATTGCCTAAATATTTTATATGCACAGATATGTTTATCTAATTCAATGTTTTTCAACCATTTAAAACACTTAGTATTTCCTTCTTTCTTGAATATGCTAATAGATCTTTCACATGCATAAAATGCCTGCCCAACCCCTAGGGATCCGCCTTATCTGATACAGTTTGTTCTCTAAGACATCACAAAACATTCTTGAAAAAGGAACATGGCCCTTCCTCTAATCTTTTCCAGCCTTCTCCTCAACTACTGGAAAAGGGATAAACTAAATATTTACATTTTCCATTTTACTCAAGTTTCATCAAAGTCATTTTATTAGAGTGTTTTAGAGAATATGCTTGGTAGGAAACAGCTGTACAGTATTAAAGTCTGTATGTGTCTCCATTAGAAATTTCTTAAAATGTATTTTAAATTTTGAATTTTGGCTTAGTGCAATTACAAATGAATTTTATGAAACATAATGTAAATAATTTGTGCTATACATACTATTCTATCATTGGCTTCTAGTAGTCAAGAAACAAGTCATTTAAAGGAAAAAAAAAGCTTCAAAATGTTTGGGAAATGAGAATTTTGCCATTTGTGGTATGTTTTCCTATGAAAGCCAAACATGTCATATATTACATCATATTTATCCATCAATTATCTATCTACCTACCTATTGATAAGACTGTAAATTTGCTGTTATTTGAAAATTTGAGCCAAGAGTGCAACATCAATCTTTTGAATTTGGCAGGTGAAAAAGGTAAGAATTTTGATAAAAATGTAAGAATATACTTAATGAAATTTACAAATTTAGTTTGTAGTCTTTTTTCAATTTTTATCAAGAGCCAATTTCCTTTTCTGTCAACAGTGGGAATTTAGACACGGCTACTGCTGTGTTTTTTCGGGTGCCACCATGTAAAAAAAATTTTAAGAAAAACTTAAAAACTTGGTACTGGATCTATTGCTGTTTCATTCTTGTGTATTTTTTGTACAAGTAAACACTATAACACATTACAGAAAATCATGCATATGATCATGCAGAAATGAAAAATAAAATTTCTATGTCTATAAAACTTATAATTCATTTTTAAAACTGCCATAAAACCTAGATAATTTGCAAGAGCACTATTTTTTTAAGTTTTTTTAATTGTCCATGGACCTTTATTTTATTTGTTTATATGTGGTGCTGAGAATTGAACCCAGTGCTTCACACATACTAGGCAAGTGCTCTACCACTGAGCTACAACCCCAGACCAAGAGCACTGTTTTTAACATGGAAGAATCAAGCATGACTCATGTACAAAATTCACATTTTTTGGTAAAATTTGTGAGAAATTATTAGTGTAATATTACTATGTCTATGCTAAACATGTTATCTTTATTGAGAAAAAGATGCTATTTTCTCGACTCTTCCCCCCAATTTCCTCTTTAAGACTAAAGTGAGAAATCTAAGACTAACATCATAAAACAAAAACAACAACGACAAAAACCTTTGTTTTTCTGAAAAAAACTGTGATTTTATTATATGGAACAAAAATCCTGACAGATGGTTGTGAAGATTTTCATTAGTGAACATTCTGAGAAATATTATCATGAATAGATTTGTTGAAGTTTGTTAACTCCAGTGTTTCCTTTTATTATATTTGTTTGTTTTTACATATGCCATATCTTTCTTTTTGTTTTCATAACAACTGTTAAACATGAAATAGAACAAGAGTTCCTTAGATTATACTTTGAGGAGTTCTGGTGAGAATTCTTTTGGTAGATTTAAGTCTAGCCTTTTCTTTGTTTTCCTTTTTTCTATTTTCCCTTTGTAATTTTTTAGCCTTGAACTATCAATATTTTTTCACTCTTATAAAACCTTCCAAGTTATATCAAGTCCTTTTTGGGGGGAGCAAGCATATATAAATTTAATAAGCAAAACTTACCAACAAAAATTATAGAAATTAAAAAATATATTGGGTAAATTGTGTTATGTGAGACACTAGAAGGACTCTTCTTGAAAAGAATCTGAGCACAGAGCTAGTTTAATTAAATAAATAAATGTTGATTGATTTGAGGAATGGTCAATGTAGCAAAGTAGATTATAATTTTTGGAAATGCTCATGATGTGGATGGCAATAAAATTTTAATCATATGGGAAGAGCTCTCTATAGATGCTCCAACTACTAATGATACTATATATTTGTATAGGATACTGTCTTCACATCCATTTTCTAGGTTGATTTTCTTCAATGAGGTCAGTAAGGCATTCATTGTGAATATACTTTCAGGAGGAAAAAACCAGGTACCTGGTCCTCTAATCTTTCCATACCACTGGATTGCATTTTCATTACTAAGTATAAAATTTATATCAATATAATTTGTATTTTCTTCCATAACTATCTTTTTCCTCCTCATCTGCGAAAAGCCTCAGGAATGAAGAGAATCTTATAGGATTGCTAGTTCAACATTCTATGTCCTAGATGAGGACACTGTTTCTTAAGTTAAATCAATATTGCATTGCTAGTGGTGGCTATACATTTTACAGAATCAGCAGGAAATATAGGCTTGATACAACTGGAAACTGGGTACAGTGAGTGATTTATTTGGCTTCTAGGTAGAGCTTCTAGTTATCGGAACATTCTTAACATATATGAGCTTCTAATATGTCTAAATCATCTTCCATCATGATAAAGGGCTTGAAAATCCTCAAAAAAAAGCTTCAAGAATTCTTGCCTTTTTCATTTTTTCAGTTGTGAACTACATGATATCACTCTGGAAATCCTTAGCTTTGACATTGTAGAAATCATTTCTGCAGATCATTCTGTGCTCAAGTAAATTCCCTGTCTCCCTTCTTATCTGGCTAGGGAACTTTGACTCATTCTGGAAGCAGTCCAAATTTCAACTGTGAAGCCTTACATGACACCATCTGGTAATAGTTAGGCAAGTTTATAACCTTTTTAACCCAGAAGACTAATACTTAAAAGGAATGCCTTCTCTCTCATTCATCTCTGAATTCTCATCACCTAATACAGTACCTGGCTCTTTTTTAGGTGAGTAATAAATGCTAAATGAATGAAGACTGATTACTGATTATATAATATTTTATAAAACATCCATGTGAGACATTTAGACAAAATTTTTCGTCAAAAATCAAAAGACAAATAACAAAAGAATATTTTTAGCATATAGAATAAAGGGGAATTTTTCTCTAAAATGAGCTTTTACAAAATCACTAAGAAACTGATCAACAATACAACAAAATAAATTAGCAATTTTGAATAGGTAGTTCAGAGAAAAATAATAATTTCCAATATAAGTGGGAAAAGTCAGTACCAACTCTACAATGTAATGAATATATATATTTTTTCCTGCTTAGCATCCATTACTCCTTCTTATGTGAAC